AAAAGCACTAATAAAGATGGGATCTTAAATATAAACAGTCGCACCTAAGGTCTGCCTAGATGTTGGAGAGTCGGGGTGGTCTCATTATGCTTAAGAACCCAACTTTAAAATTGCATTTCATCCTACATAACATTCATTGGTATACATACATTAGCACATTATCATTGATAATTGTCTGCATTCTTCTGTCTTTAATTTTTATTTACTACTTGATGATAAAAAGTTCTATAATGAAAAAAAGACAATACATTTTATTTGTGATATTATAAAATAAAATAAAAATAACATTCCGAAAGAAATAATTCTTGGTACTCTGCCTAGATGTTGGAGAGTCACCAATAATTATCTTCTATGAAGAGTGTTATTTCATTTTAAAGATTGTTGTGTTAATTCTTAAGCAAAAAGAGTTATTTTAAATTCTACCTAGATGTTGGAGAATTTGAAGATAATTCTTTAACTTAAAGATTTTCTCAATATTCCTAAATAAAAAGCTATAGCAAAATTCAAACGAAAGGGAATTAGTGTTAAATTTCAAACTGAGACCATTTTTATCCAATACCGAAAATAGCGCATAATTAAATGGTACCAATTTATGGGCGTTGTAGGGGTGCTAATCTTTTCCCACATATAATTGACTCCTGAGGCTAACCTGATTTTTCGTATACCATAATTTATCTTTTTGATAAACTTTAAACTCACTTTTATAGTTTTATTAAAAAGATAAACTTTTGAGTGGTCAATCACACCCTAACAAAGATTGGTGGCGACTTTCTTTTTATTTTTTTCGATTATAAAACACTTTACGTTTGACAGTCCCAAAACCGTTATGACAAATCATATGTCAAGGCTCTCATCTTTTTCTAGAGTTTAAAAACTTGATTGCTGGTGTATGTAATTTTTTTTAGTTTAAAAATTTTTTAAAATTCTTAACTCATGCCTAACTTCAATTTGCTAATTTTTTCAAACATTTAGTGTATTTTTGGATAGAGAATTTTAAAATTTTGAAATTAAGATAATTTAGAATGTTGCATTTCAAAATAATAGCATTTGTAATTCCATTATTTGAATAAATATTGTTTAGAAAGCAAATTTAACTATTGGAATTTAATGAGATAAAAAAATTATAAAAATAATGATAGTAGAAATAAAAGAAAAATTATAAAAACACAATATGAATATCATTAAATTTGTGAATATCATAAAATAATAACAAAATTCTTATGATTTTTTGACCAAATGATACCCTTATTTGTCTTAATAGACAGTAAGGACATAGCATGTTTAAATTGTTTTGAATTCTCAAACAACATACCTAACTCAATGTAAGGGATTTTTGCATTAGGATCATATACTGAAAACTTACTTTTTATCCTAGTAGCATCATTAACCATTTTATCCTTATCACTAACAAGCTCACCATACTTATCAGAGTCATAGTACTCACTCTAATATCCGTCATCAACATCTTCATTGATTGGTGAGGTTAAATGTGGTTCCATCCAAGGGTCATACCCTTCATTACTATTTATATCAGCTATATCTTCAACATCTACCTTAGCCACATCTTCATTTTCTACCTTTGTTGCCCTTGCTACCCCTACCATATCTTCATTTCCTACCCCTATTACCTCAACATCATCTTCAATTTCTACCCTTGTAACCTCAGCTATATCTTCATTCTCTACCCTTACTTCATCAACCACCTCTTCAATTCCTATCCTTTCATTCCTTACTGCTTCACCTACATGTTGATTTTCTACCCTTTTATTCACTACTGCATCATCTACATGTTGATTTTTTACTTTTTCATTCTCTACTACCTTAGATATATCTTTTACTTCAGGTCCTATTAATAACTCAAAAGCTAAAATAGCTTCATCTATACCATTTACTATATACACATAAACTAAACCTAGATCTACCATATACTTAATCATATCAAGAGTGCTTCTATCATTATTTACTACCATCAGGCCATCAGCTAATTTTTTTTTATTTTAAATACAATATCTCACTAATATTCATATACCCAGCCTCATTTCAAAAGTCTAACAACTCAAAGTAAGATATCTTATTAGGATTTACTATCAATTCCTCTACTATCTCATTTATATACATTAGATTATGACCATTACCAACAAAAGCCCTAGCATAGTAAAATTATAGAATACAATAATCAAAACTCATATTGCAAAACTAAAAAAAATTTAAATTCTATCACAATAAACCCTAAATTCTAGCAACAACAGTTGATAAGTGCTATAAACATTATTTTCAGCAAAAATTTATATTATAAGTGTTATAAGAAACCCTAAATCCTTGACAATAACAATTACAGTTAGTTTAAGTATGCATGACCCTTACATTATTATCTAATTTCTATTATAATCTTTTACTTTGTTATAAAATTTCTGTTATAAGCTTTTACTTTGTTATAACTGAAGGTCTTTCTTTGAAATGCAATTTTCTTTTACAATAGGTCTTTTATATGCACATTCTGGCTTAAAAGTTTAGCATGTTTTTCTTGTGTTATTTTTTTTTTTAGAATTAGAATTCACATGATTGACTTGATGTTGTTATTTGGTAATGTTTTTGGCAAGATAATTTATAAAATGGACATGAAGTTGTGATCATGCTTATACTTAAACTTGGTTATCTTTCTGGTGATTTTGTGGCTAGTTTTATTGATGGTTCTGGTGAAGTGATGATCATACTTATACTTAAGCTTGGTTACCTTTCATACTTAACCCTATTTATAATCCTAGCTACCATGAATTGTTATTTTTTTATTTTGTATAAAATAACATTTACTTTTTATGCTGATTAATTGGCTTCACTTATGTTATAAATTAAGACAACAATGATAGATGATCACTTATGCTAGCACTAGTGGAGGCCTGAGTGATGGGCAAGAATCAAAAGGCTATATAAACAATTATGTCTAAACAAAATATGTTTAAACAAAAAAAATCCTAACTATAAATTTGAGTAATTAAGAACAATAGCAGAAAACCCTAATTATAATTTTGAGCAATTAAGAACAATAGTAGAAAATCTTAACTATTATTTCGATCAATTAAAAACAACAGTAGAAAACCTCAAATATAAATTTAAGCAATTAATAACAATAGCAAAAAACATTAACTATAAATTTAAGCAATTAAGAACAAAAACAAAAAATCATAAATCAGAATAAGCCTAGAAATGAAGAACTATAAAAAATCCTAAACAAGAATATGCCTAATTTTGAAGAATAACAAAAAACCCTTAACCACAAAATGGCTAACTATGAAAAACAACAAAACCCACAATATGTGTACATATTATTCACCATATTATTCACTTTACACAAATTTAACAAAAAAATAACAACTAATGTTCCAAAATTTTGAAGCTCAATCAATTGAACCCTAAAAAGAATCAATTCTTGAGGTGTAATTGATTGAATTGAATATTGGTTAGCCTAAACTAGGGTTTAAAAAAATGTTTAGCTCATAGAAATTAACAAATGAAATTGAATTAGTGTTTGAAATAATTTGTATGGGTGATTAGGGTTAAGGGTGATTTGCTCTACGTTTGGGACTTTTTAGTTTTTTTTTATTTGGATTAAATGTAATTTTTTTTTGCTAAAAAATTTTTCATTTCTTTTTTTTATCTAAGAATTGTAATAAAAAAATCCAAATTAGCATGAATTTACCTAATTAGTTGTTTCTTATTCTTTTTACTCATTATAATGGTGCGTAATATACACATTCTTTTTACCATTAAAATAAATCCTACATTGTTAAAAGTTAATACTATTTGATTCTTATTTGTACAATTAAAACATTTGATCTTTAATTAAGTAACCACCCAAATGTTTAATCCTGATTTGAGCATTTAGCCATAATAAAAAAATATTTTTTTAAATTTTAGGCTAGGTTGAGCCGAGCTCAGGCCTTAAATAATGAGACCCAAGCTTGTTCTATTTTCTGATCGAATTTCATTTATTTGTCCAACTCATTTAATGGGCTTAATATTTATGTCCAAATCTTTCAAAATTTTGAATGTTTTTTCAAGTTCGAGTGATCACTCGACCCATGAACAGGTTTACTCTAGATGTACAAAATATGACTAGACGTTGTTTGACTTGCGGTTTTAATATATTATTGTAGTATTAAAATTTCTAGATATCTATATCAACAATAACATATATTCAGAAATATTATACATGTGTTTTTAATGTAGTAATAAGATAATTAAGGGTGTAAATGCATAAAACATTTGAAAATCAGTTTGTGAACATAGTTATTTATTAAATTTAAAAAATGATTATGAATAATATTTTAAAATTTATTAATTAAATAAATAGATTATAAACATAATAAAATTTGTTCATGTTCAATTTGTATACATCCAAAGGTATAAAAAAAACAAAGTGTTCAATAAACAAAACCGTTTATGAACAAGTTGGATTCCTGTTCATTTATGAAGATCAGCAAACGAAATTACAAACATTATTTCAATATTCATTAGTTAAATAAATTATGGACACAACAAGATTCATTTTTATTTGATTCGTTTATATCCTGAAGATAATTTGAATACATTTGAATACTTTTACATATTATTCATCTTGTCTTTCTCTATCAATCTATTTTCTTTATAAACGAGATGCTTTCTTTCTTCCATAAGAAACCCCATCGGAAATCAGTAAGAATGCAACGGCAAGGCAGAGCCCAAGATATTTTAAGTTCCAAACACCGTTTAGTTTCTTACAAATATTTAGCTCCAGATAAAGTTAATTATGTGAGGGAAAGACTTTTGAGACTTTGTATTGCAATGGTGCTGAAGAATATCTGAAAAATTTCTTTTATTTAGGAGTGAGATCTTATTTTATACATGGATGTGTTGACTTTGGATAATAATGGTAGTGAAAAGGCTATTTAAAAGTTTTAGCATATGTCAGGCCTTCACACACACACACACACACACACACACATATATATATTGTTCCTTAATATGTTTTGAATAATTTGTCCCATGGGTTATTAAAAGCAACAAATGGACAAGAGTTTTTCTAGCAACTGGATCGTTTGTATTATTCTATTCTGGGCAGAAATAGGAAACTTTTCCTATTATCTCTTACCACTTCTAAGTAGCTCGAAGGAAACATGAGCAAAATGAAGAAAATGTTGCCAAAAGAAACAGAAAAATCAAAAGCTCAAAGTGCCCCAGGGTAGGGTGTGGTGGGATCAACCGGCAGTTTCATTTGTTCATCCCCATTGAATCCTTCAAGGAATCAGCTGCCCCTTGTGCTTTAGCCTTCATCTGCTGACCAGCCTGCGAAACAATTCTAATTCAACACTCACAAGGAGATAATTTTCTTGCATCTAATCAACTTATCCAAAGCTATCAAAATGAAAAAAAAAAAAAAAAAGCTTGGACCTCTTGGCATGATTCTTTAGCAGATTGTGCAGTATCCCTAGCCTTGTCTGCCATCTGGCTGGTCTTCTCCTGAGAAAAGAAAATGCAAACAGTTAGCACAAATGACAATGAATAATGTAAACCAACTATGATTCATATTTGTGCTGTTCATCCATGCCATGAAACAGATTCACTCACCTGAGTTTGGCCCTTAGCCTCGCCAGCTTGGAAGCTTGTATTCTGGGATTGGTTCATTTTCTTCAAAGAACAAAAACACTACTAGCCAAGTAAATCTTAGATGCTTAATTTTTGGTGATGCAACAGATATATACACTAACAGCAACAGTCCTTTGCAAGACAAGTGTGACGGTAGATGGAGGGTTTTCCGATGATTGGTTCAGCTTATAGACCAGGGATACTATATATTCGCTTAATTCATCATTCAATTCAAAGTTGGTTGCGGTTTTAGAGTTTGGTATTTGGACAGATTCTTTGCATTGGATGATGGTTGTGCACATTTACAACATTCATGATAACTTTGCTATATAGCTTTGAGGTAATAGTACTACTTTGGACTTCAAAAGCTATTATGTTACGGTGTATTTGATCTTGTACCTTGATATATTTGTATTTTGAAAATTAAAGAGCTGCCTATACGATATGTTCATTGAAAACCTTGTTATTTTACCCCAAAAAAAAAAATTTTAAACCTTGGTTCCAAGAATGCATCTATGGTGGCAATTGAACGGACAAGATTCAAGTTGAGCTCTTTAAACTAAAGTTATTTTGCATTTAAGTTATTTATAATCAGTTACATCGAAATTTAAATCAATTTAATTCAAGTTGTTAACTTTAAATGAATTATTATTTAAAAATTGGTCACATTAACCTTTTCAATGATATCTTTCAATGATATCTTAATACTGTTGTCGAATGGCATAATGCTAGGCTCTGATTCTGTGTCGACTTCGACCCATTACTCGGCATCCTTCTTTGCTTTCATATCTCCCCCTTCCTAAGACAACGAAGAAGGCTTAAATAGCAATAATAATATCCCAACAAAAATTATTTTCGTTTGTTTGATTTAATGATCAAAATAATCTTAAAAAATATATCAAAATTAGAATTGAATCCTAATTTTCTCTTTTTTTTTTTAATATAAATTTTTGTGCTCTTAAATGATAAAAAAAAAATCCCAACAAAAACATATTTAGTGTTAGGATAACGTTTTTTTTTTTTTTGCCACCTGGTTGAATACAGCTGTCCCATTAGTTTGGTGAATGAAAAGCTTTTGTGTCCCAATCAAATATGGTATATACAAGTCTTCTCCATAAAGTTTTATCTCCTTTAAAATAAAAAAAAAAGTACATGAGTAGAATTGGAATTTGAATTTTCAAATTCAAAGAATTTTTATTCAAAAAGTAAGAATTTTTTTTATATATAAAGGGTACCATAGTTGAGATAAGTGAAAAAGTTTTAAATGTTAAATTTTGAATTTTATATTTATTAAATATTAAAATTTTAAAATAATTATATAAATTAATTAAATTAAATTTTAAATTCAAAATAAAATTTTAATATAACATAAAAGATTCAATTGAACTTTTAGATTTCGATACTTGAAGAATGATCGTAAAAACTTACAAACGGAATTAGGCATCATAAATTTTAAAATACTATTTAATCTAAAATAAAGCAATTAATAATATACATGAAAAAATTTCAGATGATTAATATTGTCATATTTAAAAAGTGATATCTAATTAAAATTAAAATTTTAACATTTATAATTTTTTTTTTATTTTCACACTTATGCCTTATTAAAAATATGTAAAATTATTGTCTATATTATCTATAATGAATATAAAATTTATTTTATCACCACATTAAAAGCAGATGCTGAAAAACCCACGGAAAAGAGATTTAGAAATAAAATCTCAAAGATAATAATTTAAGGAGTATTGAAATTTAAGTTGTTTTCCTTGAAACATGCATGTCATTAATTATTCGACGATTGCAGGTTGTATCGGACAAGAATGGAAATATCCAAATAGATGCTGATAATGCTTACAGAATACATACATAAAAATAAAAGATATGAATTTCATGTGCTCATTAAATAAATAATTCGTCTTTTTTCTATTTCTTAGTTGCATGCTTGCTTTGACTCTCAAATACGGCCAGAATCAACGTATTTGTTTGAAAGAGATATGCCATTGCCAGCTAGAGAGATGATCTCTTTTTGGTAATCCAATAAAGTTTTTTATTAAATGCATATCTTTTATGGAAATTAATAATAAAAATCATATCTAGGTTCATAAGGATATAATTTCTCCAAGGGCTTGTCAATCATATTTTTAGATTATAATTAGTTTCATTTGGAAAAAATCCATTAAAAAAATAAATTCAAGAGAAATCCAAATAGAATCCCTTCATTGAATTGTTAATCTTATTTTAAACATGTGAATTTCATTTGGTAAAAGAAAAGAGAATAAGACATGTATCGCTATTCATTTCCAATTAAGAACAATAAACATTTGCTCTCATAAAAAAATTATTAAAAAAATTTCAAAATCATACAGTTGGTAAGAAATGATAAGGTTAGAATTTGACATACTGTTTAGCTATTAGTCCACAAAGATCTACACCAGCATAATCCGTTCTAGATCGAATGTCACCAAGAATTAATGTCATCTCAAGTATAAATATCTCTCATTCTCTCATAAATAATCTTAAGTCATTCACTCTTTTCATTTTCCTCTCCTTCCTCTTTTGCTCATCTTCTGATTTGATTGTGACTCACCTCCTACCTTTGTCTTTTACCATTATTTTCCTTTGACAAGAGCCTACTCAGTCCATTTGAGGTCTAAACATAGTTGTTGCCGTTGCCGAAGAGAGTATTGAACATCTTACAAATAGGTAAGAAATTAGAAGGGTCTTATTAGCAATTTTTTAAATTTAGATTTGTTGCTCAAAATTGTTAAATCACTTAAAATAGCATAAGATTATTATTTTATGTGTGGACATTAAATAAAATTTTTATATTCCACAACCAAAGCCTAATAGAAATTTTATATTCCGCAACCAAAGTTCAATGGTTGCGTTATATGTCTATTTAATAATTAATTAATTTATTAATTTTTAATAAACATTTGAATAGATCATGTAAACATCAAATTGTTCGGTTTTTAGTCAAGTCTTGTTTTAAAACTCATCGCGTATATTGAATTTTCAGACTCAGGTCTGATTCTAATTCGACTGGGCTTTAGGCCCAATTCTAAATCGACTGAGCTCCAAGATCGATTTTGACTCAATCGAGCTTCAAGCCTAATTTGATCCAACCAAGCCCAAAGCCCAATATAGTCCTATAAGCTCAAAACATATTTTTAATTTATATTTTATTTTATTTTATTTTAATATTAATTTACTAATTAAATAGAAAATATAATAAAAATTTTAAAATTAAAAATTAATTAAAAAAAAGAGAGACAGAAAACAGGGGGTTGGTGTACGGTGCCACTGTCGCCCTATCCAACCTTCTACCCGAGCCCATCTGATCCAGCCACCCCTACCCAGTCCCATCAGACCAGCGACCCTTGTGACCAGTTACTAGACTAGCCACCCTTTTACCAGAACATTACGGCCACGTCTACAGCCACCCTATACAACCCTTAGACCACCCACTGTCCCAGACACAGATCGAGCCCTATAAAGAACCCAGCTTCATCCCCTTCTTGTCTCTCTCAGACACATCTCCAGCTACTCCGAAACACCAAACTCCCACACCCAGAAACTTGAAACCATTCCCAAAAACCCAAACACTCGACCCACCAAAAAATAAAAAAAAATACCAAAAACATATCCATAAAAACAAAAAAAACGAACAACACAGTCCTTTTCGTAGGGAGAAGCATCAGTGCCAAAGCCAACTGCACCAAAGAAAAAAAGATCATTAGTTATTCTTAAAAAAAAAAAAAAGAGATAACACAAAAAACTTCAAGCCCCAATCTATGCCCATCAGGGCTATTTCTCGTGAAAAAGACAGCAGATCTGAGCTCAAGAGGTCGAAAAAACCTTTTTCGATGAATTTTGGAGTTTTTCGATCACTAACGATCATTGACGGTGACCCATACGATGGCCGGCACAGTGGTATGGTACCGGACTCTGGCCAAAGTTAGAGAGAGTTTGGAAAGCTGGGGAATTTTTTTTTGAAAAGAAGGATGAAATGAATTGAAAAAAAAAGTTGACTTTTATAGAAAAATCATAGAAGCAAAACACGTCGTTTTGAGCATAGGGAGGATCTACGCATGCCCATTACCCGACTTGACATCTGCGCAAATCGACCCGCCAACCTGTCTCAACCAGCCTTGAACCGGTTCAATTGAACCGTGCGCTGAACCGCCACTCAATCGGTTTAACCGAATCACTTACCGAACTGCCCCTATTTTTTAGCCCAGTCGAACCGCCATTGACCGGTTTAATTCAGGTAAAAACATTTTTTTTAATTTTTTTTATATTTTTTATTTATATCATTTTTAACATTATTTTATTGTTATTTATGCATGCTTTAAAAAGTTTTAGAGTTTATTAAGATAAATACCTTTTGTTCTATAGTAATAATTAACAATAATAATAATTAAATGACAATAACAATAATAATGATGTTTTAAAAAAACTTTTAATTCTTTTTTAATAATCCAAGTGTTGAATAAAAAATAATAATAAAATATGTATAAAAAATAAATAAATAAAACTTTTCCCTACCTAGATGTTGGAGAGAATACAATTGCGCTTTAAATAATAATAATTTCACCCTGATGTTAGGGAATTATTATTATTATTATAAAAAAAAACATTAAAATTAAATAGGTTATATTAAATTTATAATAAAAAAATTTATTTTCTTGAAATTCATAAAAATTAAACTTATTTCGAATGTTCACCTAGATGTTGAGGATTTTTAGAGATATTCGCGTTCTTTTAAAATATCATAAATCAAAACTCTGAAATTGAAACCCTAAATCCTTCAAACCCTAAAACTATTAAACCTTAAACCTTTGAACCCTAAAAATGAAACCCTAAACCTTTTGAACCCTAAAAACGAAACCCTAAACCCTCTGAACTTTAAAAACAAAAGATTAAACCCTCCAAACCCTAAAATCAAATCCCTAAAACATCCAAACCTTAAAATTGAAACCTTAAATTCAAAACCCAAAAAATCCAAAATCCTAAACCTTAAATTCCAACCCTTAAACACAAAACCCAAAAATCAAACCCAAATCCTCTAAACCCTAAAACTAAAACTCCAAACCTCAAACCTAAAATTGAAACCTAAAAATCCAAAATCCAAAAATTCTAAAATTCAAAACCTAAAAATCCAAAGGTAAAGTCCCAAATTTGATATACATTTCCAAATCTTTAAATCTTGAGACCCTAACCTTTAAAACCTCGACTTAAGCTCTAACCAAAACAATTTAAAAATCCTAAGGACACGTGTGAAAATTTCACTTGAAGTAATTTGTTCTCGAATGTCGCCTAGATGATGGGGTATTTAGGAAACTTTATTTTATTAAGTTTTTTCACACGAATTCTTAATTCGCATTAATAATGAGATTATTAAATAAAAAGTACTAATAAAGATAGGATCTTAAATATAAATAGTCGCACCTAAGCTCTGCCTAAATGTTGGAGAGTCAGGATTGTCTCATTATACTTAAGAACCCAACTTTAAAATTGTATT